TCGACTAAGTGCCTCAAACAATAAGCATGATGGCTGCCAGGAAAAACCGTAGGGATGGCTTTAAGTAGTCCACTGTGTCGGTCCGAATAAAAAGTGAAGCTTCTAGAAACAGGTAAGCAGGAGGAAAGAAAACTACTATTCAGCTTCAATCAAAACCACTCCAAATTTTCATCCGTCTCGGCATCAACCACGGCATATGCTATAGTGAACAAGTCGTCATTGGCATCCTTACTCACAGCACTAAGCAAAATGCCTTTGTAATTATGTTTTATGTGGGTGCCATCCAAAAATATCAACGGTCGACAACCGGTTAAAAAACCGACAAGGCAAGCATTAAAGCAGATGAACAATCGGCGGAACTTATTCTCGACGGGGTCAATCTCACAATCGGCAATGCTTCCAGCGTTTGTCTCACGCACTGCGCTACAATACCATCTCAATTTGTCGTAAGATCCCCTGTCTGCTCCATGAATATCTTGCATTGCAAGTTCCTTCCCTAACCATGCTTTTTTGTAAGGCAACTCCAAGCCATAATCCCTGTAAATATCTTTCAATATCGTGCAAGGCTTGTAGTTCGGTTCATCTCTCAGTCTGTCTTTGATTGTAGTTGACACCCAAATGGAGTCCGCTTTCGGATGCCCCCTTGTCCGAAGATTGGACACACCACAAGTATGGACGAGGTTGCATTTCCGGATGGCAAACTGCTGATCGCCTTTGTATAACGATGCATATACTCTCCATTCACAATCCGCATCGCTACAACAAACGATGACCTTCTGCTTGTCATTTTTCCGATACTTAAAGGACTGCTTGTTTGCAATTGCGTAGTTTTTTACACTCTTTCGAAATTCGTCGGCCCCAGCGAATATTTGCCCCTCTCCTTTGAGGCAACATCTCCAAGAATCGATTGATTTATCTTGCAACAACTCATGTTCTCCCTCCGACAAATCATCAGACTGTACGTTTTGCCTGCGTTCATGACAAAATAATACAAACATTTATAAATAATGGAACTAGTTAAAAAATTAATGAACTAGGATATGATACGACTACACCATATTTCAATAATAAATTCATTAATATTATGAAAACAACATTACCTGCTCATGTTCATCGGGAAGGATTGAACTCCATCATCCCGTCTTTCATTTCTTTCCATGGCAATGATCTCTACGATATTTCGTTTCCAACAAAAGTGTAACCGAATCATGTTCTTCACATCCTCATCATCCAACAAAGTAACTCTCTTTTTTTCCTTTGGCGCAATATAACATAGCACGACGGATTCGAAATTAACGTTCGGCCACCTCTTTGATATGAGAGCGTACACTTCGCTAAGCATTGATCCAATGTGCATAGAGAACATAAACAATTCATTCTTGTACGTACAACTCCCTAGTATATCACTTTGTGCCCCTTCCATCTATCTAACAATATTTGGATAAATAAAAATAATTCACATTTCTCAGGAAAATATGATACAAAGAAGAATTAAAGTGGTACTATATACATGCAAACAGAGGTACAATAATCAAGAATAAGGGTACAGTGACATTCCCATTGTTTTTGGGTGAATAACACATTACATAACTTAATAATAGCATCAATTTCGTATACATAAACAAGAAATAAGAGATTTTGATTGATTTAGGGTTAATATGAACATCAATTTTCAAAATTCAATCCCTAACAAATTAACCAAATATATACGAGTTAAACATGATTTTTGGACTCCAATGTGCATAGAGAACATAAACAATTCATTCTTGTACGTACAACTCCCTAGTATATCACTTTGTGCCCCTTCCATGTATATAACTATTGGATAATAAAAATAAAATTTCACATTTCCCAGGAAAATATGGTACAAAACAGTATTAAAGTGGTACTATATAAACAAACAGAGGTACAATAATCAAGAATAGTGGTACAGTGATCATTCCCACCTTATTTTTATGTTTTAGGGTGAATAACACATTACAAAACTTAACAATAGCATCAATTTCGTATACATAAACAAGAAATAAGAGATTTTGATCAATTTAATTGATTTAGGGTTAATATGCACAATAATTTTCAAAATTCATCCCAAACAAATTAACCAAATACATACGAATTAAACATGATTTGTGGACTCCAAAATGCTCATATAATACATATATTACTTGCTACTTCAAATTTTGGCCAGAAAAAGCACGAATGTTGCCGAAAAAAATTAATTCTTGGCCGCACGAATTTGACGTCGGAATCACTTCTTTGGCCGGATTTGTTGTTGCCGGAGTTCTTCTCGCCGGATTTTGTCGCGACCTGCAAAAACAAAAAATAAAAAAATGCAAGCAGTCGCCGGAAATGAAGGAAGACGGGAGAGTGACGGGAGGGAGGGAGAAAGGGTGTAGAAGAAGATTGATCAGAAATAATAAAATAGTATCATGTGTTGGGTTAGTGGAAGATAAAACAAATAAAATAATGTGTTAGTGGGATGATGTAATAAAGCATTTTAGTTTTGATTTAATTTTAACATTAGGGAGTTAGGAGGAAGAAAATTAAGGAATTAGGGAGTTGAAAGGAAGAAAAAAAGGTATAGGGACTGAGGAGGAATATGAAAAGACACTTAGGGATTTAATAGGAAGTTGCCCTATATCTATTATACTTGTTTACAAGAAATACTAATAGAGACATAAACTATAAAAAAAAATGATCTCTTCACTCTTAAGACTAGTGGCAGTGGCGTGCTAGGAATTAATTGAGCTGGACAGCAAAAACGTTCCACTTATCTCAAAAACATGATTTATTTGCTTTTTAATCCAATCCGATTAAATTTTGAACATGAATTATTACACGAGCGAAAAATATAATAACATATAAAGCTGAAAATATGAGGATTATTTTGATGTCAATATAATTCTAATAAGTCATGAAAATAATCTCTAAGGTACCGAAACAGCTAAAATTATTAACTACTCTCGCTATACTAAAAAAAATATATATTCTAATATCTCAATTAAACTCTGAATTTAATTTAAATAGACAAAATTTCTAAATAAATTAATTATCTCAAATGATTAAATTAAACACCCATGTCTAATTAATCATAAAACGTGAAATAATTAATCTCGTCTTATAAAATTCATTTCTGAAAAATAAACTTATCGGAATTAACTGACTCGTTTACTGAATAGAATTTAATCGAGAATACATTCGACTTAAAGTCGAACTTTTAACTGAATAACTTAATATCTGAGCTCAGAACTAGGAACGAGCATTATTAATAAAAGTAAATTAGTTCAAACTCGAAACTAAAAATAATTACTTTTATTAATAACTGAATGGGATGTTACAGCGTCCCTTCAAAATACCATATTTACCTTTTAGAAAATCGGCACGTTACAACAACACACAAAAATAATTGAAAAGACCACTACGTGATAGTTATGACTTGCCGAGTAATCGTAGGTAAATTTTGGTTAGTGCAAATAGCTAGAAGAAACAAAATTAGTTAGCATGATTTAAAAAAATTGCTGAAATAGAAAAATTCAGATCAAATAATTGTATAATTGTTAGCATGGTCTCCTTTCCACTTATGCCACGTCAGCATGAAGACCAACAAGACCGAGATGAAGACAAATGAGCTTATGCTCCACGTCAGACGATCATGCAGCCAACATGCACAACATGCATAGACTATAGTGCCCCTGTAGCATTTCATGAGTTTTAATGTTTTTGTCTTGTTTCTACATTTGGTAGTACATCTTTTGGTTCCTTTTTGAATCTTTATCCTTTTATGTCTTATCTCGATTAGGTCACGAGATATTAGTATATATTGATGTAAACTCATTGTTGATGGTATGAAAAGTTGTTTCATCTTTTTCCTCTCTTAGCAGAAGAACTCTAAATAGCCAAGCATTCACTTTGTTCATCAAAAGATGCTGTTTGTTTCCAACAATAATCCATCGTGTAAGTATCGCTCAATATTCTACAATCCACATTTAGCTATTTACTAAGTTTCCATGCGGCATATCATAAAAGGGACGTTGCATCATTGAGCATGCTCTTAGTTGATGAAGCCAATAGTTCACATGCTCTTAAGTGATGATGCCAAATCAGAATCCAAAGAAATTGATACAGCATGCTCTTAATTCATGAAGTCAAATTACACATGCTCTTAACTGATGATGCAAATTAGAACCCAAAGAAATTGATGCAGCATGCTCTTAGTTAATGAAGTCAAATTAGTACACATGCTCTTAACTGATGATGCCAAAATTAGAACCCAAAGAAAACAATTCTGCCAAGTTTTTTTAGGTTCATTGTGACATGGACGTACCACCAAGTTTAGTTTACCCGCCATATACTTGTATCTTGTCATCTATAAAGTCTAATAACACAAACATTTCAAGCAACAAAGCAAGAGTCAGGAGGTTTCAATGTCTACAGCTAAGGGAGATTACACATATCAAAAGAGATGGCCAAGCCATCACTCTCAACTTTCCAACATCCCCAAACACAGATACTGCCCGAAAAAATTGTCAAACTTGCTTTCTTCACTTGTGACCTACCCAAAGCAGGTATGGTATGCAAGACAAAAAATATGCAATTCCAATACCAAACTAGTCAAGGGCAGTGAGCCTTTAACAATGCACACCAAGTGTCATCCACCAAATTCCCACTTCTGAAAGCAAGAAACTTTTGACACATTCACAACAGCCTACAAAGACAACAACTTGTAATACCAAGCACTAGACAAACATTAGATATATACGAAAGCAAAATGGAAATCCAAGAGGCTACAAACACATTAAAAACAACAATCTCAGGTACCAATTTCACAACCACCGAAAAGGTGTTACCTTAGGAAAGTCACATTACCCAGATCAGAGAAAGAAATAACTACATCATTTGACTTAAAATAGCAGTATTGAAAAGACAGCTTCTTCTCATGCACACGACCGTTTTTATGCATCCACAAAACCCACAAATCCAAGAACATAAGACAACTCAGCTCAAGAGTCATTCAGGGAAGACTCTGGTACGTACGGGGCAGCCTTGGGTTTGTACCGAAGAAGATTATGTTGAGCAGCTAGAGCCTCATCCTTAGGGCATTCATAGGTGCAGTGCTTTGTATAGCTGCGGCAAATAATACAGTACTTTCGTCCGAGCGCTGCTGTCTTGCTGCCACATCTGTTACAAACCCACTTGTCGACATCGAAGGAAGAGTAACCCACACAAAAAGGACAGGCTATCTCGAAGTATTCCCGGTTAAAGTCCGCCCCACGAGGGTAAGAAGAGCATACGTAAGGTCACTGACTGAAGCCATGAGTATTGTAGCAAATACGACAGGGCTCAGGAGAGTCCCCACAGCACTCGCTGCTAGACTTCTTAAGGGGCGGTGGGAAGTTGGCAATAAGGTCGGCTATAAAAGGATCTACTTTGTATTCAATGTCGAAATGAAAATAATCTGGGTCCGGCACTGTGAACATACTCCCATAATTACCTGGAGATACAAACCCAAACCAGTCCGGAGAATAAGACTTAACATATTTTGGAGTGTACACCCTCTGGCAAGCAAGTGGATCTGGCACAGGCAACTTCACTTCATTAGCGCCTGTTTGGCAATTTCATTTCAATAGTTAGAATAAATCCTATGAAACTAGACACAAGTAGACTTGAGGTTATCCGAAATAATTGTTCAAGATCAATTCAAGTAACCATCAACGACAGAATCAGTTGGTATAACATCCCACAAGGAAGGTTTGATTGGTAACAAAGCCAATTATACAGTTAGCTTCAATAACATCCAGAATAATTAAACAGGATCAATTTATTTAGGTTATCTCCATTACACAGGAAACCATCAACCGAAGGAGAATGTGTAAAAACAGAAAATACCAAACAAATGAGATGTATTCAACTCGATGGAGATCAAGGAAGAGAATAAAAAAGGGAAATTGCATACCTGTAGCACCAGAGGCTCCTCTGGCTAGTAGGGAGCGGTATGATTTCCATAAATCTGACAAAAGTTCTAGATTAGGAACAATCAAATCGTCTCGTTTTATACAATTGGAAGATGATTTCTTCTTACTGTGAGAAATGAAGCCGACATCATGAAAGAAGGGTTCTTCTTATAGGGTTTTCACATCTCTGCCCGCCATGCTTTCCAGGGAGTTTGAACTAGATGATTCCATTGTACCTGACCCAAAAAAAAAATCCCTGATTAGCAATACATAAAACACCAACGCGAAGAACTAAACTAAAACAATCTCGTTTCAATCACACGAGATGTTTTTTAATATTATAGAATGTGTACCCAGATTTTCAGAGGACGCAATGAATTTGGATGTAGACATGCTTTCCAGGGAGTTGGAACTATATGATTTCTTTGCACCTGACCAAAAAAACAAAACGAAAATCCCAGATTTGCAATAAATAAAAAACCAACGCCTAGAACTAAAACAATCTCGTTTCAAATCATACGAGATATTTTTTATACCTATAGAAGGTGTACCCAGATTTTCGAACGATAGCGCTGGATTTTCAACATCTAGCCGGGAAATCGCTTTGGAGGAAGACATACTGTTTAGGATTCAGTTATAAGATGAGGACTGATGGATGGAGTTAATACAGATTATAAAAGGGCAGCAGTTTACTAGTCACCGTCCCTCTTGGACAATTTTGCCCTTCTCATTTTTTCTAAACATCTCAGAGGAAAGTGTACGGTGAAATGTCGTCAAATTCGAAGGTACGAAAAAATACGTGTACGGCCGCCGGTTCCGGACGGCTTTTAGCCCGTCCGGCCACTGGAACCGGACGGTCTTTAAGCCGTCCGGACCGGCCGGCCGGACGAGCTAAAAGCCGTCCGGAAAGCACGGCCGGTCGGACCGTCCGTGTCCGAACTGGCCGGCCGGCCGTAAATTTTTTTTTTTTTTTTCTAAATTATTATGTTATTTATTCGAAATAGTTATGTTATAAATTGGACTATATTATTATGTTATAAATTATTATGTTATATTTTAGACTTGATTATGCTATAAATTGGACGTTTATCGTGTTAGGAGTTACAAATTATTATGTTACATGTTGATTATAATATAAATTGGACGTTTAGATATTATCGTGTTACGAGTTAGAAATTATTACATTACATATTAGTTTTAGTTATGTTATAAATTGACGTTAGATAGTATCGTGTTAAGAGTTACAAATTATTGTGTTACATGTTTATTATAATATAAATTGGACGTTAGATAATATCGTGATCGTGTTAGGAGTTACAAATTATATTAATTGAACGTTAGATAATATCATGTTACGAGTTACAATTATTATGTTACATCGTAGGATTAATTATCTTAATTTAACATGTTCTAAAAATATAAATATTGTACTATATAGCAGGAGTCATAGGAAGATTTTGGAGGAGATGGTGTTGATTACAGTCTGCGTTTCGATACATGTTCATTCTATAATAGTGCTCAGGAGGCTATTGAAGCTGCAAAACACCAGGCAATGCTGAATGGTTTCCTATTAATTATTTCGAGCCACAAAAAGAAAACGGTCAGACTTTTGAAGTGCCATAGAGGCGAACGGTGCAGAGGCACAGGCGGAAATTCTAGAAGGACAAAAACGAATAAGTGCGGCTGCAATTTTGAGATCAAAGTAAAAAAGGTGTCCGGCGTTCCATACTGGAGGATCTGTAGATGTAGCAATGAAGAGAAAGGCTACCATAACCATGCATTTGCTGTGTATCCTGAGGGTCATAGCCAGTTGAGCGGTCTCAG